TATATACGAATATTGTATGTAATTAAGTAATTCCTTCAAGTTATTCACTATTTCAATATACTTTTATGAGTATTGAATATGAAAATTGATATTAAATATCATAAAGTTGAACTCATACAAAGTAATTTAATATTTACCAAGTATATACATCCTTACATTTTTCGTCCAAAAAAATATCTATCATGTGCTAAGTAAAAGTCATTTTTGCAGTTTTGATTGAAAATAACAATACATATTTAATATATATTGGTGAAGACTGAAGACTTTACTTTCATATTTAAAAATACAAAAATATATTTAATTTATGCCCAAGAATAGCAACTTTGTGGTTCCATGGTCTAGTGGTTAGGACATTGGACTCTGAATCCAGTAACCCGAGTTCAAGTCTCGGTGGAACCTTTCATTTTATGTTTTTTTTTTCGCAAATAATACTGTCCATATTTCTACATGTTCGGAATAATTTTACTATATTACCCCAAAAGCTGTTCATTATCTCTTGATTTTTCAGACTCGACAAGTAACATTGGTCAACAATTTTCAACAATTTTTAATATACTTGACAAGTAATAATATTGTCCATATTTCTACTTGTTTAGAATAATTTTACTATACCACTTCAAAATTGTTTATTATCTCTTGATTTTTCAAATTTGACAAGTAAACTCGATCAACTATTTTTAGGGTTTGTTTGGAAGGACACTCTGGTAATTGAATTTGGTGTAAGTGGTGTGATTACACCGTCTTGTCCTGTTTGGAAGGACATGTAATTACTTGGTTATCAGGCGATTGGTGTAATTGGTTGGGTGTAATTACACTCTACTATTCACAGGCAAAGACTGTGAATTGCTGTTCTTTTTTTTATTTCTATTTTTATTTTTTTGTTTTAATTTTTTTTACGTCTATTATTTTAAGTTTTTTTAAATTATTCTAGAAATTTGTAAAAGATTATTTTTTATTATTATATTTTATTTTATTGTTGTTCTTTCAACCTTACTTTATGTGACTCTATGTAATTTTCTCGTATTATCTATTTATTTATATCATGCTTATTATCGCATTAGCATAATTTTATTTGTATTTTAATTTTTAAATTAAAATAAGTTAAGTAAGATTATAGACATACGTTCTCTTTATTAAGAAAAAATAAAAATAAATCATATTTATTGCTATGTTGAAATTTGTTATAAGAGAATAATGTTAAATTTTTTATTTTGAATTTATAACTTATGTTTATTTTCATTTCATTTATTTTAGTAATATTGAATTTACATTGCACGTCATTTTTTAATTAGTCTTGATAGGTTATATTTTTGTCAAACATTTAATAATTTATGACATTTTATTTATATATTATTCTTTTGATCAAACATGCATTTCACGATGTTCGTAGAAACTTCAGTTGTTACGATCAATTCAATTGAGATATTTTAATTTGAAAAACTATAAATTAATTTATTTTTTCACAACATTAATTACAGAAAACATGTTTATTTATTAATATATTTTTAAAAGAATATACATCTTAAATATTTAATTTAATGTCATTTATAAAGTTTCTTATTTGTCTAGTATAAATTTTACATAATTATTTTTTATTTTTAAAATTTATTATAATTTATGATTGCAATTGTACATCCAAAGAGAACATGTATAATTACAATGTAACACTCAAACAGGACGTGTGTTACTGTGGCAATCAAACATGTCAGTGTAATTGTTAGACCATGTAATTAGTAGGTTAATAATTACTATCCTAGTAATTACACTAATTTTAATTATTAAATGACTTTTCAAACGGATTATTAATTTACAGAACAAATAAAAATATATGAAAAAACTATTGAAGTTGTGACAAGTGAAAATGTACGGAGGAAAAGTTATCAAGTTGCTCGTACTAGAAAATACAAATGCGCAGACGTTACTTGAAAATTCATGAGATTGTATTTATGGTAGTTAGCACTTTAGCAGCGACCCTTTATTTTTTTTAAAAATAAAATAATAAAATAAAATAAAAATAAACTTTCATAAATACAAGTTTTTCTTACTACACCTTTTGACATGGATTATAAACGAGAAAATGATCAAAATGGTCCTTAAAGTACTGGGTTATTTTATTTTGATCCTTAACATATTTTAGAGAGAAAAGAATCAAATGTCCCATCAAGCTTTAGCTATATTTCCAACTACACTCTTGACTTTTGTGGGGGTCATATTATCTCGAATCTTTTTTTTTTTATATTAGTTCATCGTCAGAGTCTGAGGGTGAACTAATATATATAAGAAAAGATCAAAATGGTCCCTGCAGTAGCATATGAGAAGAGAGAACAGACTTGTATTTGTATTCAAATGATAACAAAATGTCAAAAGAGCCGTTAATGGCATTGCAAGTTGTGTTGAATAAAATAATTAAGTCTATTTATTTTGCGTTGTTTTGAGGTGTTAAATAAAATCATTATCGTTAAAAAAAAAATAACAATGCAAATGTGAAACTGCCTCTTATATTTGTTTGATGATTGTTTTAGCGTGGAATACATTTTTGTAGTATTAGTTTGATTTTTTGTAGAAAATGGCAAATTCGTATTCATGTACATCAAACCAATAAATGCATGACATGTATTTATATATAAGATCTTTAATCGAGATAAATTGATATGACTTGATATAAATATCAGGTGCGAGTAAATTTTTAGCAATTAAAACTTAAATTACCTATGGCACAACCCAAAATTATATCACTAGCATATTTGAGATCCCAACAGCTCAATATTTACATCTTCTCTGTACTTTAATTTTTCTAGCATTTGTTATGCCTATGTTGAAAGTTTTTGGGTCAAGAGTAATCTTTGTTGTTGGCTATAAATAGTTAGTGATGTTAAAATATATTCTATTAAGTTTATTTGAGAATTTTCAGTATTATGTTTTACTAATTAGAAATATCCTTGAGGATTGATTATTATTTTTGTTTAGTTACCCCTTGCCTGTAGCTTTTCCTCTCTCTCTCTTTTTTTTTTTTTAAAAAAAATATAAACAAATTTATTTACATACTAAGCTTACCCTTTTCTTTTTAAGTTTATATACATATATGTCATTTTTAAAATCTGGACAACTTATGGCATATGCTTTTTATCAAGTCTTTTAAGAAGTAGTATTTTGTAACTTGAATATAAGGGAATTAGCCTATAATTTTGTGCTTTATAAGTTGTTGTAGTGGCTTTGAGCTTTATTCGGTATTTATGTATTTTCATATTTTGGATAGTACATTCCTTACTCTATTCTACTCGATTATATATCTAACTTATTCAGTATCGAGTATGGTTTGATTGTCTTACTAATCTCTTTATTACTTTCTTTGCATTGAACAATTTTGGAGATAAATTGGAGTTTCTTTGAGATATTCTCACTATATCCTCTTGCCATTGCTAAACTTGGAATATGCATTTTCCCTTTATTTTAAAATTTTACTCAACTTAGCACTTGTGATAATAACCCCAAACTTTTTTTTTTTTGACATGAGCTAAGTTAACCCTTGTGTAATATAAGAAGGTTATATGCTACCTCCAAATTTGCTAGCAAATTTTAGTTGGACACTCAACTACAACTCATTCCAATATAGCATCTAAACATATAATTTAAGCATTTTTATTACATACTTCAATTTCAAATTTTTAAAAATTCTTTTTAGCGCGATTTCAAATGACCATTGCTTAAAATTAAAATTTCAAAGTAAAGATGCAAATTCTCCATTGCTAGTATTATCAATATGCATAGTACATATGATTCCTCAGATGCATCTAGGATTTCGAAAGAACGGGTGCACTATTAAAAAAAATATATATTTAAAATATAAATTTGATTGATTTGACCTTTAAGTTCTTATTCCCGAACCATTAAATTTTAAAAATTATAGCTTCAACATATATAAAACACCTAGTTTAAAATTTTAATATACACATTTGATTTAATTATATAAGAAATTTATAGTGCTATTTTTTTAAAAAAAAAAATCCAATGTAACACACTTGAAAATTTAAAAAAAAAAAAAAAAGAAAAAATTATTGAAACACCTAAAGTGTTACCAATCACATGGAGGACAAAATTTTGAAAAAAAAAACAAAAGAAAAAAATTATTGAAACACCTATAAGTGTTACCAATCACATGGAGGAGTGTCGCTTAAGAAAAATAAGATAGATATAATATTCAAATTTCCATCTTTACTTAGACAGGTATACCCAATTATCATTGTATTATTATATGCTACATATAATGTGGGTTCACGCCTCTATTTAAATATCTTTTAAAAAATATATGATTCAGAGAGGAGAGCATAGATTCACGTAAACCCATGGAACCCCCCTGATATGTAAAAGTATTGGTAATAAAAAGAGAACCATTATCTACTCTAAGTCCAATTTGGCCTTTTCTTATCTTAGTTTCAACTACATAGTTTTTTCATAAACACAATAAATATAAAGAAGAGGAAAAGGATGGAGGGTGTCAATCATTTTCATCTTCTTCATTTGCTATTGGAATTGTGACGACATAAGAAAGAAAATTCAGATATATGAATCCTAACTTTTCTACATTCATATTCATCTCAAACCCGCAATCATAAGCATAGCCAGTTTGTCAACTGATACTAGATATCAATAGCTAATAAGAGGGGGGATGCAAGTTGCAATACAGATCAACCTTAACGTTAAGCGAAAGTTCAGTAACTAGTACGATGCTGTAAATTGATAGAACATTTTCTGTATACCTGTTCTGAATGAACGAACAACCACTCATCTATGAAAATTCACCTAAACCTGAATCAGACTGGCATAAGCCTGCACCTAATGCTGAAATTAACCCAAACTGCACATATTATCCAAGAGGTCATTATCCAGAATATAAAATAAAAGCTGAAGCTTCAAATCAACTGATAAATGGTCTCAAAGTTCCCACACAATCATGATATCGGAGTTGACCGCTCCCCTCCTGCTGGAAACTGAGGCTGCACACACGGAGACAATAGGTCATACATTGAGAGCAAAACTTCATAAGGTACAACTGGTAAATAATACATCCTGTCAAAACAAAAGTGTAAACTGATATCCTCTTCTTCATTTTATAAGGACGGATAACCTTATTATAAAGAATAGCAGTGAAGGAGAAATATGTAGGTAAGACTATTGACTACCTCCCTTGCATCTCTGTAATGGATTCTATATAGAGTTAAAATCATCTTGCATTTTATGCCAAAAAGCTTACAACAATATGGAATCTACTAGGTCCATCAGAGTCAATATCATATTATACATTTGTCTTGCATGAGGGGTGCAAGATAGACCAAGTGCTTTTTCTCTACTCGTGAAGGTTCACATCTAGCTATCAAGGATAAGGAAGCAAAGGTAAAGTCCTTTAATAATATGTCTGTCATTTTGTGCGACTATCTCCACTATAGAAAGAAAAAAAAAAGGAAAGAATAAAATTTTCAGCACATTTATACAAATAAGCCTTTATCAGTATTATAATAGCATAAGTAGTCAACATTTTCAAACAGGGTTTTTGCCATACACGCAAACATAATTAATAAAGCCAAACAAAATAGTTGGCATAGAGCGCTTAAGCCCTGAAGTGAGACCCAATACGTGTTGAGCGTTTGACCTTTAGTTTCATCATCAAGATTCTAAGGCATACTTTTCCTTGTCAATGAACCTCTTATGAAAAGGTGACACTAAACAACTGATATTCACTTTATCGTATTTTTTTTTCAATTTCTTTGTTTTTTTTATTGTCATTCATACTTATAATTATTAGTCTTGAATTGAGCATATATATAATTGTATTTTTTTCTCTCTTTGCAGCATTTTGCATTAAAATCCATGCTCTATTTGCACTTTGAGCTTAAGCCCGAATGGAACCTAGAACTTTTTTGCGCTTTTTGCTTTTGATAACATTGAGCATAGATAGGAGTCTATCTTCAGTAGGCATCGTAATAGATCTCCACTAAAAGAAGACAAAGAACACCCCAAATCAAAACACACTACTTTGCATCCACATTTATTTAAGCCTTCTAAAACAACAAATAGTTGATAGACTCTTCTATTCTACTTCCTATAGGAATACAAAGCTATGGGGGCGACCCACGCAGTTAGTTCCCTTTCATTTAAGGACAAGAGGCTCATTCCTATCTTCCACACCGAGAGTGTGGTTCCAAGTTTGTTGCATCATATTTGCAATGATCTCAGAACTCTGATTGGAGCTTCTCCTCTTCTACTCTCTAGATATCTTGAAGTCCTAGAAAAGAATCCATGGCTACACTCAATTTGTTTTGAGTTAGCTAGTTGAGGTGAAAGGAATTTAGGAAATAAATAGTAGGGTAAGGCCTTGATAGGAATTCTGAGTAACATTCTGGGTGAAGCTTACTTCCTGTTAGCCTCTTAAGGGTAAAAGTGGTGGCCTGGTTGTCCCCACCCTCCCTTATCATGAGTGTATGTGGGAGCAGTTTGTGCTTGCCTTATAGTTCTCAGTCCTCTTAGGCTAAGATGCCTTTTAAAAAGATTTTTTCCCGAATCAAAACAAGACCGACTGTACTTATTTTTCCAATCAAGTGCGGATGGGATTCCTCAATAGATTCTACATATTCGGCATTTGCATTCTATGGTAAAAAGCTAGTTTCACAAACATGTACAGTTTATACTATGTAGTATCGCTATGTTCGTCATTTGAACAACTCCAATTTCTTCTTTACAAACAGTCCAGGTAATACACCAGGGACCTGTTATCCAGATCTTCCTAAATTGCATAGACAAAAATACCAAGTATTTTCACTGGATGCTACAGCACACAAAAGATTCAACACCATTGACAAGCTGATGGTGAAGGGGTTACATTAACAGATTCAGAAGAAATTAAAGGAACCATAATCAATTACTATCAAAATCTTTACATAAAAACGGAACAATGGAGGCCAGAATTTAATGTACAGGGAGCGGAAAACATTACACAAGAGGAAAATGTATGGCTGCAGAGGCAATTTGAGGAAGATGAAGTTTTCAATCGCATAAAATCATGTTCTAGTGATAAGGCCCCCAGACCAGATGGCTCTCCGATGAGTTTTTTCCAAAACTTTTGGGAGATACTGAAGACAGACTTCATGAATGCAGTGAGACAATTCCATGAAAATAGGGAAGAGTCTCAACGCCACCTATGTGGCTCTAATCCCAAAGAAGACAGGAGCTATGGAACTTAGGGATTTCAGACCCATCAGTCTCATTAGTGGTGTGTACAAGGTCTATGGTAAGCTGTTGGCGGAGAGATTAAAGAAAGTGATAAGCAAATTAGAGAACAATCACCAAATGGCCGTTATTCAAGGAAGACAAATTATGGATGCCGCGTTAATAGCAAGTGAGTGGGTAGACTCAAGGATTAAAGGAGAGATCCCAGGAATCATGTGCAAGCTTGATATAGAAAAGGCATATGATCATGTCAATTCGGAGTTTCTACTCAATATTCTAAGGCAGAAGAGGTTTGGAGACAAATGGCTTAAATGGATAGGTTTTTGCATCAAAACTGTCAGGTTCTCCATACTTGTTAATGGAGAACCTGCTGGTTGGAGATCCTCTCTTCCCTTTCCTAATTATTTTAGCTAAGGAGGGTCTCAACAGTATGATTAGAGTGGTCAATCAGAACGACTGGATAAAGGGTTTCAACATTGGTAATCAGTCAGGGGTCAATCTGCATATAAGTCACCTTTTATATGCAGATGACACACTAATATTTTGTGATGCAAAGACAGAACAAGTTAGTAACATTAGAGTTGTTTTGGTGATTTTTGAGGCCATCTCTGGACTGGCTGTGAACTGGGGGGAAAAGCAGCATCTTCCAAGTCAAGTGGCAAATATTCAGATGTTGGCAAGCATCTTGCAATGCAAGATAGAGCACTTACCAACTACTTACCTGGGAATGCAGAATGCCTGTGGGGAATAATCACAAGGAGCTGGAGATTTGGGATGGAATCATTGAGAAGACAGAGAAGAGGTTGGTTAATAGGAAGGCAAACTATCTAATCTCTGGGAGGAAGAGTCACTCTGATCAATTCGGTCCTGGATGTTTTGCCTACATATGTTATGTCACTTTTCCCTTTACCAGCAAAGGTAGAAGAGAGGTTGAATAAATTAAGGCGTGATTTTCTATGGTTGGGGAACAAAGGGGGGAAAAAATACACTGAATTAAATGGCAGACAACCTTAGTAAGCAAGAAAACAGGGGGTCGTCGCATATAAAATCTGAAGGTCCAGAACAAAAGTCTACTTTCTAAATGGCTTTGGAGATTCGTGTTGAAGATCAGGCATTATGGAGGAGCAATTCTCAACAAGTATGGGCAGACTGGGGAGTGGGTGTCTAATGTAGTAGATAGCACGTAAAAAGTATCAGTTTGGAGATCAATCAGAAATTTATGGGATAGTCTAAAGGTGAATTTGGTGGTCAAGGTGGGAGAGGATAACAAAATATTTTTTTGGAAGGACAAGTGGATTGGACAAGAGTGTCTAATAAACTCAGTCTTCCCCGATCTCGTTTCTTTTTGTACAATTGCTGAAATTTGGTCCCCTCAAGGATGGAACCTCACCTTCAGGAGAAATCTAAATGATTGGGAAGTGGATAGAATTGCTGAACTGCTACTCAAATTGGGTGAATTCACGGGCCTTACTACAGAAGCAGATGGTATAAGATGGAAACATGACTCTGATGGCAAGTTCTCTGTGTGTACACTGTATAAGAGAGAGGTCATGACTCACTCTGGAGGAGTTCATGGTCCATGGAAACAAATACGGAAGGGCAACAACCCAACCAAGGTGAAATGCTTCACCTGGTTGGTCACCAGAAGGGCATGTCTCACTCCGGAAAACTCAAGAAAAGAGGCTTCAAGATTGTTTCCAGATGTTTCTTTTGTCATGAGAAGGAAGAAACTAACAGCCACTTATTCTTACACTGTAGGGTTACCGTCCAGGTGTGGCGCATGGTCTACAGCATTTCTCAAGAGCCCTAGGTGATGGCCAGAACATACTGCTGATCTTTTGAGCTGTTGGATGAGGTCAGGAGGGGGGGGGGGGGGGCAACACCCAATGGTCTATAGTACCTACTTGTGTCTGGTGGGCTATTTGGAGAGAAAGAAACCTTAGGTGTCATGAGACTATTACTAACACTATGCAGAAAGTAGAAGAAAATTGCATTAACATGTTTTTTGGGTGTAAAGAAGAGGGTATAGACGTAGTAGAACAGTTGGTAGATTTCCTAGGATCTATGTAATTATGGTCTTAGCTTGTTACTTTTTGGAGGTAGCCAGCATACCTTAAGCTGAAGAATACAACTTAAACTTTATCAAAAAAAATAAAAATATACTTGGTCTTCATTTGATCTACTTAGTCTTCATTTGGTACCATTGACATATATTCCACTCATTTCTTCAATATTTTCTCTCATGAATTCTTACCACTATTACTAGGAGATCAAAACATTATGCAGAAAACAGTTTTTCGACCCTAAAAGCTTAGAACAGACAAATTTGATGCAGGAATTGGGAAAAACATCGCAACATATTGACTGTTTAATACCAGAACTACTAAATTTTCTATTTATCCACGTCTCCTCTTGTAACAAATTACTAAAGCAGAAGTGCACATAAATTAGACCATTCTTTTACAGTATGTTCTGCAAAAGATCCTTCCCAAGCTTATCATTTGTCTTGCCTAACAATGTCCAAAATTTCATATATTGCTACTAGAGGACTCCAAATACAAGGAAGCAAATATGTAGATGCCAAACCTCCGTGCACGAATTCTTGCACTTGTCATCCCTGACTAACTTTTAATGTTGGGTGGAAGACAATTGCTAACAAGATAGGCAGATTCATAAATGCCTCTCTACCATCGACATTCAATTCAAGATTGACAAACAAAGACATTCCCTATTCAGAGACTATCAGGAACAGTAGATGGGGAAATAGGAAATTTATTAGCACCTCCAAACAAGAAGGAACTGGTCAGTTGTCGGAAAGAGCTATTCACATTCACAGACTAGAAGCAGATGTGTTCTCTCTCACCTGTAATGAGGTTAGAATATGAACATCTTCAATTGAAAAGGGACAGTTTTACTGCATCCAAGAAAAAAACTATCGTCCTTTTCTCACGAAATTGTTGTAGCAAAAATTACCAATGGTTAATGAAAAATGTAACTTCTTTGTTAATTTAAGTTCTTTTTGGATATTTGGAAATGATTGTTTGTAGGCTACTTCCTATCCTAGGAAGATTGTTGTGCAATCTTTTCTTGTAGACTTGAGGCAAGGTTCCATGTCCCCTTCTTGTTGGGTTCATATTTTTGATATTTAATTAACATGGTCGGGTTCAAGCAAAAACCCCCCACACCTCAGGCCCACAACTAAGGTAATGGCTTGAACTAAAAAAAAGGCACTTTACTTATATCTCTACATCTTTGGACTGCTCAAAGAGAACATCTGCAGCAGGCATACAAAAGCAAGCACAAGCTTTAAAGTTCTAAAAAGGGGGAAAAAATAGCATCTCTTTCCATGCAGAGTTCCCTGCTAGCATGATAAAATTTAAGCATAGCTTGCAGTATCAAATGACATCGTCAATCAATTAAAGCAGGATGTAAGGGCAACGAGGATCAAGTTAGAAATCCTCAAGCTACCTAAACCAACCCAGAGATGACTTAATCTGCTTGGCATCAACAACACAAATTATTACAAATAAATCATTGATTAGCATGCATAGTCTAACTAGAAACACAAAATATTACCGCTGAAGCATAGGATGAGCTTCGTGCAAGAAACTTGACAAAGTCTTGTTTCTTTATTTCAAAGTTGAACTTTGCATGGTCCAGTAATGTTTGTTCTCTCTGTAAATCATCCACAAATCTTGCCCTTTTCCACTGCAGCTCCTTCAACCGGATCTCAGTCTCATAATAGTTTTCAGGTACATTCGGCCTTCCAGAACTCATTGGAAATTTGATCTTGACTTCCCTAAAATGTACATGAGAAAGACAGAATCCAAATGGTTCAGTGATGCAACACAAACAAACAACACATCCAGTGAAATCCCACAAGTGGGGTCTGGGCAGCCTTACCCTTACCTTGGGAAGGTAGAGAGGATAATGATTCAATGAAGCAATCAACAAGAAAAATAAATTGTGCTGCAAATTCAAATACATCTAATATATAAACATACAAACTCAAATACATATGATATATGAACATAGGAGTAGGATTAAGAACAACACCTAGGAGACAGTGAGATTAAGATATCAATAATTGACAAACATCATTTAGGTAAATCTAAAGTTGTGTTAGACTCTGAACGTGATAAATCCTGAAAACTCCTCCACCAGAATATAATATTATAGATAATGTTTCCTGATTAACTTCTAAAATGTGTTGTAGACACCCCCCCCCCACCCCTTTTTAAAAAAGAATAATGATTCATTAAAGATGCCAATGGTCTGTTAATCATTTGAAATGAACATAGAAAGAGAAGAACATGATTTCATACACTATTCTATGCAGATTGAAAGAGGAAGTTAGTGAAAGGTCGAACTACTACACTCCACAAAGGTCAAGCAACATGGTCACAAAATAACATCAGATTTCCAACTAAGGCGCAAAGTTAGAGATCAAGTATATTACTTGATACTCAAAAAGGAACAAGTTAATAGGCAATAAATTCTTTAGGGTATCTTCACAAACAAGTTGAACTATGAAAGAAAGAAAAAGTTGAGAATAAAACAATGACGTTATTTAAGACTAGCCTCTTTACCTCTCGCCTAGGGAGGATATACCACTACTCTTTATGATCCCACCATCCAACGATATGGCTCCATCAGCTATAAGAGGTAGTGCCTGCAGCATGTCAGCCCTTGTTTTGTATACTTGCAAACGTGAGAAGAGTCTATAGAAGAGGGTCTCTCTCAGGCCATAACCAGTGCTTGTGACACAATATAAGTTCGCAGTGTCGATATTGATCATATTGACAGCAAAACCAAGAAAACCAGGAGGAGTTTCCTCATTGAGGTATCTTGGCTTCTTTATGTCAAGCCTCCTCTGAGGGTCATCAGCAATAAATTTACCAGTGTATGGTCTAAAACAATAATTCAAAAAGGAAAAAGAAAAGAGAGTAAAGAAGTGCTAAAGAATATGAGTAGCATTTGCAAGAAGAGATCATCAAAATATCAAACCTTAAGTCCTCAAGACAGATTACGAGATATCTGTCATCCAAGGGTCTCCCAATTGAAGCTCCAAGTCCATGAAAACCAGAACTTTTATTTATACGACCTTCCCTATCATATGTTTCCAGTGCTTTAACTCCATCACGCGTCTTGAAAACAACTCCTAACATGGTTTCGAGCCCAAGATAATCCGAGAGAGATCTGAATTTCAAGATTATAATACAAATGTCAGTCATAATACTGTGAACTTACATAACTTCTTTGGTAAAGATATGGCATCTGGCCCTAACTCAACCCCAAAATATAGCTTATGAGGGAGGGATTGCCCAAGTCCATATATGCAAACTACACGTCCATAGTGGGACTTTAACCCACTCTAACAATCTCTAAATGCCATGCTTCTTTCATCTTATATTCTCAAAATGCAGAGAACTATTCAGATTCTAACTCCTGCGTCACGGCAAGACCTAATTTAAGCAAAGAGATGCTCATTATCATACAGAAAAGTGTGTCACATGCTAAGGGGTTATTCCAAGGTCAATTTTACAAAGTGAAGGTTCAAAAGTTTTAATCACAAGAAGATAACCAGTGAGAGGACAAAAGTAAAATATAGATATTATTATTATTATTATTAATAATATAGTTGGTACGACCACCAAGCCTATCTCGTAAGAAAGTGAGAGATGTTCAACTACCAACGAACCTTCTATCCTAATTCGCAACGTCCAAACCCTAATCACTCTTAAGTATACCTGTGACGGATTCAAAGACCAGAACATATCAAACTTTATGTCTTAAGTCTTCACCTTCACACACAGGTTCAAAAAAGTCTTCACCTTCATGCAGCCACATACTGTCATCTTGATTGGGACAGAGTGAACAAATGCTATAATTTCTTGAACATGGCTGTAGAGAGCTAGCATATGAAGTGGACTCAAAGAACAGCTTATTCTTTTTTCTACTTTATCTATATTTTGTAGAGAACACCAGCAATTACTGGATGCTATGTTGAACTAACCTGCTGAGATTATCATCATCGACCTTCCCAAGCAAAGCAACAATTCCTATTATGTCCTTCATAAATGGAATCTGTGTAATCTGAGTTCCACTACGCTTTTGCAGCTGGACACAGATGGCAGCTGCAGATTTATCAAAACTTAAGATTTGTTCAATGGTCTCCTCCTCATTCTGCCCATTGGAAGATTCCTTATTTTCAGAACCAGTTTCACTTGCTGATTTAGTCGTGCCAAGAGCAACTACAATACACCACAAGCACAAGAAATCAAAATTAGGGAACAGTGCAAGGCATATGCAAAAAGGGAAAGAGAAACTGTTAAAGTGAATATTATAGTCTACATGGAGTGCTTCTAAAAAGGCAATACACAACATTAAACCCATGAACAATATATTAGGCCTCTGTTACTCAAACAAGCCGATGGATGATATTTTGTGGTATAGGCATCACAAAATCCATATTTACTTGAAATGACAAAAACGTCCCTTGATATGAAAATCTTATAAATTTTGATTGTTTCCTTCCCATAAAGACAGAGTACAAGCATTATGTTCTAGGATACTTAAAAACAAAATAGCTACAGTAACCTTCTAAAATTTTGCACATGCATTTTACAGCACACCTAATTAACTTGGAAAGAAGTAAACAGTACCTCG